CCATATGTCCAGCAGTAACCTGACTCCTGGCGATGACATGGCCAAATTTGCTTTGGAATGAATGATTAAAAGAATGTATCACGTTTGATCCCACGTCTACAATAACATTTCTCAGCAGCTGCATGGAACACATTGTTTGTTATGACCTATTCCATACTTACGCAGGAAGCATTGGAAGAGAATAATGTGCAAAAGTTGGCTGGGAATTGGTCAGGACGAACTTGTCCGAAAGTTGGTGCCTTTTAAACTTTTTCGGAGTGTATTTTCCAGAATTTTCCGTGGAAGATATTTTTTGGAATTTCCCATGGTAGATATATGTTTGGAGTTTTCCATAAAAGATATTTTCTGGAGTTTTTCATCGGAGATATTTTTTGAAATTTTCCATGGGAGATATTTTCTAGAATTTTCCGTAGTAAATATTTTCTGGGATTTTAAATAACAGAGATTATCTGGGATTTTTTTTTGCGGTATCATGTAGAATAAGAAGAAAAAGAAGCATTAAACGAATATCTCCATCATTAATACTGCTATTTTAGTAATGCTATCGTTTGTTTTTCATAAGTTTAACGGTTTGTTATCTTCCATACGTCTTACAGATGGATTAAAGAATAAATATAAAATTTTTTTCCCAGAAAGAGAAGAATTAACAATCACGATTCAGTTGTTAATGATTCATCATTAAATAAGTAGTTTGGCTATTACCAATCACTTTGATGTTCAAAATTTTGTACACTCCACTGCCCACAACAGGTAGTTACACTAAGTGGACTTTCAACTGTTATGCAAAATGACTGACCACACAGTATGTTAAAATAACTTGAAATTATGTAGGCAGTACAAAAATTATTGGAAGACAACCTTTTTGTTGTTTTTTTTTTTTTTCAAATTTGAGACGAAATGATTGTGATTTTGAACAATTAACAACAAAAAAATGTGTTATAGGTGGAACACTAAACTGTAAATCCCGCGATCCACTGTCACAATTTTGTATGTAAATATGTTTCAACGGAAATTTTATTTGAACAAATATTTGTTACATTACTCACTTACGTATATACATCGACAAATTCTGTAAATTTGATATGAATAAACATGATTAATGATTAGGTAAGAATGAAGTATTAGGAAATGTGAGAGAAATAAAATTGTTGAAAAAAAAAATAACAATTTTACAGGGAAGGATGAGATCTAATTATACATTAGCAACCAGGTAATTGCATATGCATACTAATCAGGTATTTGTCACCTTGTTTTTATTATATTATTCCAGTTTGATTTGTTCTGTACGGTGGTTTCTTGTCAGTTTATCAGGAGGAATTTTAGAATTCTCCAGGTTTTTTATAAACAAAGTCTCTCGTGACTAGTGATCCGTTTTGCATGACTAAACTTCCGGAATTTCGGGATATCAAATGACATAATGAGTTACGAATACGTGGCTAACATCAGGACATATTCAGTGACCAGTAAGTTGTTTTTGTCCGAAATGATCAAACAGCGGGATAATGTCAATAAAAAAAAGAAAATAAAAAATAATAAAATAGCAGTATCGAAAGAAAAACCAGTATTATTTGAACACTCAAACGATGCAAAATTTACGGAACTAAGAAATCCTACAAATAATATGGCGTACATATGTAGGCTTAAAAGAGCGAAGATTTCGTATTCCATACAGTATACAGGTTTGGTATGCTTACTTTCTCGTATTCGTTAGTATTAAACACTCAATCTTTATTTCCAAATCTTATCTACCTCACTATTCACTAAATATAGATCCTGATATGGAATATGGGAATTTAGAGATATTCGAGTCAATAAAAAAACAAATGCAGCCGTCGTCATTCAAAGGTTTCATAAAGAACTAAATTCTGAATGGTATAAATGAATTATTACTGATGCCGTAATTTCTTCGTATAGATAATTTCATATCCATAAAGGGGGCAAGTTATTCATAAAATTGAACTTCTGGAAACAAATTAAGCATTAATTTAAAATTTAAAATTAACATATACAACAGAAAAAGTGATATAACATTTAAAGAAGTATATTTAAGGGAAAGAGAAAAAGGTTACTTTTTCGATACTTATGATCAAGCCATACAATCCCTCTTTGTGACATTTGAAATTTGAAGCATTTTTTGGTTGTCAGTATAATTTAAACGACAAATGGAGTAATGATAGTTTAATATTTAACTAGTTCATTTAACTATTACGGCAATTTTTGACACTTTTTTAAATTAGAATTACGAATGGTAGTTCAGATTATTTTAAAAATTTTTAAATTATATACGCTAATTCTGAGACTTTTGTTTCTTTGTTTGAAATAGTATGCAAAAATTGCTTTTTTAATCGCTTAATTATTATTTTCGTATTCATTTTTGTAGTAATATAAATGATTCCATGCCTATTTGTCTCTTCAAAATATTATATTTTTGCAGCCTTCCTTCATGATTTTTTAATGCACATAAAAAATTCTTTTAAATGCATACTTACCATTTATGCGAATATTGCAATCTCTGTGTTAGCCTAAATTTTAACTTCAAACCTCCGTGTCATTCAACTTCATGTTTTAAATGAATTTACAAGTGGTAATAACAACATTGGCAAAACAGACTATTTATGTTTCTGGTCTTTGTGCCATTAACAAATTGACAATAAGAAAATGCGAAATACAGATTGGTGAAAGAGTATAGTCAATTGCCGTTTAATCTTAATTTATTCTGATGATCGCCAAGTAATCCATATTTTTTCTCGTCGTGATACTGACCTGTGACCTTTGAGTCATTTGTCATTGCTATGATTTGTCATTGCTATGATTTATCTATAACTCACCCAATTATTTTGACTAGTTACTTTATAATAAACTGAAGTTCGGGGATATATTTTAAGTTTTTCGTCCTCTTCCTTTCATCTAATTTCCCTCTAATTAGCATTATTCTCATGACCAGCAAAGTATTTCGGTGCGGAAATATTTGTTTTTAGCGAAATCAACTTATTTGCTTACGGTCATATTAAAATCTTTCGAAGTTTCAATTTGGATAAAAGTTTATCCAAAGTTCTTTAGAACATTGGTATTACCGATAAATTGTTTGCATTGACGATAATATTAGAGACGATGTTTTCATTTACGATGATATTAGAGATGATGTTTTAATTTACAATAATATTAGCGATGACATCAGCCATTATTATAATATCGTGAACATTCAAAATATGTCCTGGAAGACATATTTCGAACTGACAGAATTCTTTTCACGCAATTGCTAAGTAACGGATACATTGGTAAAATGTTATCGTGGATGTAAGTAAGCTTGCATGTAAATGCATTGTTCGTATTTCTTTGCATGCACCGCTTAGCAATCCTTGTATTGCAGAAGTAGTACACCTCCTGTTATTAGACTTATTCAAAGCACTGACATCAAGACTGCTAACGCAAAAAACTCAAACTGTCTATGTGCGCCGATTCTACAAAATTAGGTCATATTGAATGAAATTGATCCCTTTGCTTATTATTTAAACTTTTGTTCATTTTTCTTCATAAAGAAAGAAAATAAACAGATGCTAATGAATTAGTTGAGCTGTCAACTTTCTTTTAGTGATTCTTAACATTCGACCGTAACACACGTAATGCTATGACACGAGTATTGAGTATCTTTCATTCCGAAAACATAAATTTCGCCAAACCAAACAAACAACAAAATGTACCAAACAAAATTTCATTTGAACTCACTAATAAGCATTGAGTTTCTCAACGTATTCTTTATATTAAATCCATTCCGGACTCAGTTTGAAAGTACCGCCTCACTGATCATGATAGAATAATGGAGAAGTACTGAAGCTGACGTCTGTATGGACGAACTGTGAAATTGTACAATGGAAGGCTGTTTATCATACATTTGAGCAATGCTTTTAGTGTAGTTTCTATCAAACTGAAAGATTGAAGTTATTAATAGATACTAATTACTTCCATGTAAAATTGTCAGACAAGCATTCAATACCAAAAAAAATTTCAGTGTTTTAAAAATTTGAACAAATTATGGGATATGAGAATAATACAAATTCGAACAACACTGAATGATAAAAGCATGGGATAGTAATGGTGAAGTATATGAATGAATTATTGATTCACTAGATGTAATTCAACATTGCTGATATTTTTGAGACAGAATTTTGATAGCTTCTGGGAAAGATTTAAAAAAAGGTTTTATCAAATTTTATCAATTCGATATAAGAAATCAAATCTTGCAAATACAATATTTTAGCTGTAATTATTTTGCCAGTTTTTTTTCCAGATTATTATAATATTTAGAGAATTAATTAATTTTCCTGAGATTGATTTAGATTCTTCTAAATATCATTGTAAGTTTTTTTACAACTCATAGTTTGCATATTTTTCATCATATTTAAAAGTAAGTAATAAGAGAAAATCATTATCCCAACAAATGACATGATATTATTTTATTTTTCAACTTGTTTTTATAATCATTTTTTTGTGACTTCATTTTATTTTAACACGGATATATAATGCAGAAATACATACCTTTAATTATCAAATGGATTAGTTACTGATAAATAAATTACACCTACGAAGTGTCATTGATTTGATAATATGTGGAAAATTAATTGAAAAAGGAATTGAATGAAAATTTCTGCAACAACAATATGCAAATCATTCAGTACAAATATTGAATTAAAGTACAAAGATTGTCCAATACGTACAAATTCAAAATTCATTCAACCGCTGACGTTTAATTCAACTATCCACCATTTTCCATTGATGTAAATATTACATCATCTATATGAATCATTCTAAATTTTACCTTCGTGTCATACGAATTTGAGTACCAAGCGAATCTGAAAGTCGTAATGATAGCAACGGTAAAGGAAACTGTTGAAATTTAAGACTTTTTATCATTTAGGCATTGATGATAAGAAAATGCGAAAAACAGATTGATAGAAGAGTACAGAATTGAATGAATTGGCCGACCTAACCATACCTTCTCTCATCCTGCTAATAAGCCTGTGACTTTCCAATTATTAAGTCTGTAACCTCCCTGTCATTTGTCACTGCCATCTCTGGTGAAATGAAATTCTATCTCAAAACAGTGAGAATAGCTACGGATGCATGTTTGAATTAATTGCTGGAACTGAAGTATTTCAAATCAGTGCGCCGACAAGTGAAGTTCAATCAATGGCATTTTGTATATATTATATGTGATCTTTCCATTGGTTTTCCTATGTCATCTTTATTCCGCCGATTATAGTGAATTGTAATTCAGTTAGAACAGCAAAAAAATTGTCAAATGATTTGATTATTGATTCTGCTTCGGATCAATTTATAACTTCAAATATTAACAGTTTAATTTCAACAATGATTTGAGCTACACTTTGCTATTCATTCTTTGTATAAATTAAAATTTTCATTGAGGAAAAAATAAAGAATAAATCAAATTATCTAATTATGCATGAAATCTTTTCAAGGTTTCCCTGTAGATGAAGTGCTAGAAATCCTGGAGGAAACGATCAAAGTAACAATCAATTCCCAATTAACAGATCAGGGATTGATTGAAGCAAAATTTCAGCTGGCTAATACAAATCATGATGGACGAATTTCATTTGATGAATTTATGAGCACGATAAAAGAATCAGCAATTATATTGCTGGTAATTTAATAAAACCTTATAATTTGCATATTGACATTTTTGACATCAAGTTGACATTTCCAAGATAATACATCCAAATCGATCTCATCAAATCCAATTAATTCTGATAAGGAATTAAAAAACTGAAAAGCACCAAAAATTAGAACCAAACTGTAAACGAAAAATTGCATTAACGAAGGCGACATCTCCAGAACAAATGCTATTAGTAAAAACAGGTGTGTGAAGTCATTAATTACTTTTTTGTTTCTCTTCAGAAGATTTTTTTCATTTTTGGATCGAATGACATTTAGCGCTTCCTGACATCACTTGAATGTTTGTGCAGGAAAAATAATCCATGGCATTTGGAAAAGGATGAAAGGATGAGTAAAGTTAGTAAAGGTCAACTTTTGTTTTTTCCTTTTCTCATTTGAAATATCCTCCCAACAAATATTCGAAATTGAAATTGAAAAGGAAGAATGTGAAATCCCAGTAAAATATGTAATAGAGACAAAAAGAAAACAAAACAGAAAAGTTCGTTAAAGCTTTTTAAACGATTTTACATTTTCTATTTAATTCAAAGTGATAATTTTGTTAGGCACTAATTAATGAATTTCAATCATTTTGGTGGATATTTTGATTTTCAGAATATCATATTGTTTTGGTCAGACTTGAAATCTTTAGAAACACTCACTTTTGTCATCGTTGTCCAATCATTTTAGGGTGATAGCGGTGGTGGTCTGATGGTGCAACTTCATAACAGACATTTCGGTGTAGCATCATACGGTAGCTCCTGTAATAAATTATTGGAAAAGACAGCGCAACCTTTAGCTCAAGTTTACACGAATGTTAAAATGTATGGGGGAGAGATTGATAAGTTTGCGGAGTATTTATTACCTTGGGAACAGATTTAAGTATGCTTGGGCTTAGGCTTAGGAAAATATATAGAAGATATAGAACGATAAGAAAATAAAGGGAGAATGCCTTTTTTCTTTTTTAAATCAGAAACTAATTTTAATTAATTAAAATATATGCAAGATGAAATGTTCAAATTTTATTTCTACTAATCAGAAAAGGTTAAACAATGCAATTCGTGTATCTTTTAATTCACTTTCAATATTAATTAAAATATATTACAGCGATATCTTTTCATGGGTGATTATGTTGATCGTGGTTCAAATAGTTTGGAAGTAATATGCTTGTTATTACTTTTAAAAATTCGTTTTCAGACAAAAATTTTCCTCCTACGAGGAAATCATGCATGCTCACTCATAAATCAAGCTTATGGTTTTCGGGATGAATTAGAAAAAAAATCTACCGACCGCATGTGCCCGAAATATTAATTAAAACAGCTGCTATCACAAAGAAATGCTTTTTCACTCAACTGGAATGGCAGTCATGCTCACTTTTCTCTATCATTGCTCTCATTTTGTCGCTTTCCAATTTGTTTCGAAACAAAAATCACGTGGATAAACAAATATAAAACACAAACGGATTTAAATATTTCGCCTTTTGACCAATTTAAAAAAAAAAGGAAATTGGTCACTTCTTATAAATTAAGCGTTGTTGTGAATTTGACAAAATTCATTGCAAAAAACTATTTTGAAATTATGCCATATTTGCATGAAGTAAAAACTGTTCAGTTTAAGAAAGGAATGAAATCAACCTGAAATTAGTGCATGTATTTTCTGTGCATTAAATAATCAAGCAGGGAAATTAGCTAAAGACTTTTCGACGGAGTGCAAAAATTTGCATGGAAGTTTGTTAGGAAGGACAGAATAAAAGTTCTCTTATAACATCTATTTATACGTCCTCCAATGGCTCAATCATAACTTTTGTCATCCGTATTATTGAATGGACCATAAGAAGTTATTTATATTTGCATTGAAT